GCTAAAGCCTTTGAAAAACTAATTTGTGCTCGTCTAGCTCGTCATGTTAATTTTTTTACTTCGCTTCATCAATCATAGCAGGACGAACTACTACAGGGTTATTATTTTCGATGTATAAAACTTTAAGTTGGCATTACTGTTCAAGATGGCGACCGATTTAACAGCTGTCAAGTGATTTATTCTCAGTTTGGTTTGGTAATTCATCATGAATAGACTCACACCTGAACAACGCTTGCAAATAGTGCAATTTTATTTCGAAAATAGTGGTTCTGTTCGGCATATATATCGCGCACTACGTCCATTTTATCGTCGACAAAATCGTCCATCAGAGCAGTTAATTCGATTCATCATGGAACGTTTTCGCACCACGTTTACTCTTGTTGATAACGCGCATCCCCAGAGACGCCGTACGGTGCGTACAGAAAAAGCTATTGCTGACGTAGAGCGTAGCATTGAGGAAGACCTGAATGAGTCCATCCGCCATCGAGCACAGGAATTGGATCTGTGTCCATCCACTTTATGGAAGATTTTGCGGAAGGACTTGGTTTACGTGCTTACAAAATCCAACTCGTGCAAGAATTGAAGCCAAACGATCATCAAGTAAGGCGTAGATTCGTCGAATGGGCCAAATTCGAGATTGCCGTTGTTCCCGATTTTCACAAGCAAATTTTGTTTAACGATGAAGCGCACTTCTGGTTGAATGGCTACGTCAACAAACAAAACTGTCGCCTTTGGAGCGAAGTTAATCCTCAAGTGTATGTCGAAACACCGTTACATCCAGAAAAACTGAATGTTTGGTGCGCTTTATGGGCTGGTGGAATCATTGGTCCGTACTTCTTCAAAAACGATGATGGCCAGAACGTTACAGTCTATGGTGATCGGTATAGAGCTATGATTACTAACTCTTTCATTCCTGAATTGAATAACCATGATGTCCATGAGATGTGGTTTCAACAAGACGGCGCAACATGTCACACAGCTCGTGCCACAATCGATTTATTGAAAGACACGTTTGGTGACCGCCTAATTTCACGTTTTGGACCTGTGAATTGGCCTCCAAAATCTTGTAATTTAACACCGCTAGACTACTTTCTGTGGGGCTATGTAAAGTCTATGCGGATAAGCCACAAACGCTTGACCATTTGGAAGACAACATTCGCCGTGTTATTGCCGATATACGGCCACGAATGTTGGAAAAAGTCATCGAAAATTGGACGTCCAGATTACACTACACCCGTTCCAGCCGTGGCGGTCATATGCCAGAAATCATATTTAAAATATAATGCCACAGGATTATCTTTCGTATAAATAAAATTCATGTCAATCGAATAATCCTTCGTTGTTTAATTGCAACTTAAAGTTCAATACATCGAAAAAAAAACACCCCTTACTTCTAACTTAAGCAGACGCAGTATATTGCAGAGTCTCTCGACAAGGGATATAGATATACAGGTTGACATAGTGCATTTGAATGTTGCTAAGACTTTTGACCGCATTGACCACTCCATGTTGATTAAAAAAAATCCGTGCTTGGTTTTAGCGAGCCACTTTCGTATCTTTTTACGTCTTACGATAGACCACTCTCAATAAGCTTTAGTGGATTCCAGTCGGCGCAGTTGGTCGCAACATCCGGCGTGCAGATGATTTGAAAATTGTTATAAGTGGTGTGAGCAAAATAATCTTACCCTCAACATCTCAAGGTCTGTTCATATTCGTACACCCGAAATCTTCAAATTTGGTTATTTTTCCACAAATTAAATAACACCAGCTTACAAAGATGTTGGCTCTATTAGAGATTTGAGTGTGACTTTCGATTCACAGCTTTCGTTTATTCAACGCATTGATATTATAGTCAATTCTTCTCTGAAATTACTTGGATTTATTTTTCGTAACTGCTCAGCATTTTTTGGAGTTACTCATCTAAAGACGCTTTATTATTCGCTGGTTTGATCTAATCGTGAATATTCGAAGACGTTTGGTTAGTGAGAGGCGTTGATGGTGAAATCTTGCGATTATTTCGTATCCTAAATCTCTATTGTAATTGTTTTGTCCTATAATTGGTGTGAACTGTTGGGCAATAAAATCCATTGTTACTATTATTATTATTATTATAACAGATTTGTATTGTAACAGTATCATCAGTAGATAATTGAAACAAAAGTGGACAGACCAAAAATATTGGCTTAATGGCGAGGAGCTGGGTGATCTGAGGTTGAACATCGATGTACTCAAAATTATGAACATTTGTTCGAAAGACAATTCTATTGTAATTGTTTTGTTCTATAATTCGTGTGAACTGTTGGGCAATAAAATCCATCGTTATTATTATTATTATTATTATTATTCTAACAGTATCATCAGTAGGTAATTGAAACAAAAGTGGACAGAGCAAAAATATTGGCTTAATGGCGAGAAGTTTGAATGATCTGAGATTGTACATCGGGGTACTCAAAATTATGAAAATTTGTTCGAAAGGCAATTCTGGCGTTTAATTAAAGAGGCCACTTATTCGCTTTTTGTTTCACAATTACTTTGCGATCAGAATAGACAGAATAAAAAATGAAATATGCGATCAGAGCTTATGTATTCGTATCTTCGTTTTTTGGGACATTTTTATCTATTTCTGGTGGACGTTCCTACATCAAGAGTATGATCAGCTATTTGCTTAGAGACCTGGCACAGTCTCGCGGAATTAATGCTCCTTCAACTGCACACCCGTACGTTAACACGAACCACAAAAGGAGGAGAGATGGAGAAAAAAAACAAAGAGAAGACAACGTACACGTGTAACGTGAATTAGACTTATCTGCGGGTAGAGGTCTGAGAAAATAAGTGTTTTCGCCCACGCAACCCAACATTTCCCCGATAGGTTAATCAGCTATTAGGGGTTCTTGTTTTAATTAACATTTATAATCGGGAACGTTCCGAGAATTTGTCGAGGTGCTAAAAGTCATTACCGTCATTAGCATAAAACACATC